GGTGAGGTATTTAATAGTAGACCATCAGGATAGGAAGCATCATCTTCTATTCTCGAAAAAGAGCTCCAGGTAGGCTGATATTTCATGTTCTCATGAACTTCAGCCATGCAACCTCAATCTTGTGTTCACACGTTAGGAGTATTGTCACGTTCTGTGGTCGGAGACGCACAATTTCTCCTCGTCCTGCACTGAATGAGTGGCAACACGCTATGATGAAAAACAAATGCTGTTGCGTGCGTGCAGCAAGAGCTAATCTCTGCCGCTTTGTTCTCTAACAAAGCAAGAAACAGCTGCTGAGATTAAGAGGTGAGGTGAAGATGAGGTGGTTCAATCCATCATCGAATTGGCTCACCTTAAGCGTGCTACAAAGCAGTAGGATTACAACTGTTCTCTAGCAAGTCACCAGGGAAGATAAAACAGAAGGAAAACACTGCATTTTCTTACTGAGATGAAAAGGTTATGGATGGAGAGAGGTGTCCAGAGAGATTTCTGGAATTGGGAGGATGTCTGGGAACAGAAGGAATAGCCTTGGCAAAAATTGGAATGCTAGCATCCAAACAAAAAAAATCAGTGAGCTCCAGTTGTTGTGCTGTTCTTTTATACTTATCCCCTTCCTATTTTTCTCACTTCTTTCCCTTTTCTTTCTACTTATTGGTAGCCACGTTGTCTGCCAGCTGGATGAGGGCACAAATTCTCTGTATTCAAAATCCTGTGGGTGTTTCTCCACAGCTTTCCCAACAAAACTTTGAGCTTATCTTAAAAAAAAAGAACCAAACCTGAGTTTTTAATTTTTTTTTAGATTTACTGTTTTGCAGTCTGCAGAGGCAGAGTTATCTTCAATCTCATTATTTCAGCAACTTAATTTTGTTATTTAAAGCAATACTTGGCAGCATTAGATGTCTCGTAAAGGACTATCAGGCCAGAAATCCTTTGGCTTATTCAAATCCTGGATCACTTGCTCAAAGACAAACACCGATTCAGAGGCAGAACTAGTTGTCTGGGGGTCTGCTGCTGCAGGGTATTCTCCAGGGTGGCACGTTGGTCTCAGTTTAAAAACAAAGAAAAAAATATCCCAAGTTGTGTCCCCGACCCCAAACCCTGCACGTAGTTGTGGGCGATTTGCATGTAGCTCTAACTGCAGGCTGTTCAGTAACACTTCTCTGAAAGAAATTATAAAAAATAGTCAATAAATGAAAAAGCATTTCTTAGGCCCTGCTTTTTTATAGCTTTCTGTAAAAAGATTTTTTTAAAGCCACCTCCCATTCACCCTGCTCTAGGAACTCATGATTGTCTGTGAAGCAATGTTACATTTTATTAAAAATTTCTGCCCAACAGCCATGTGTTTTGTTTTATTGCTGCTTTCCGAGGACTTCTCTGGTCAGCTCTGAGATGGAAAGCCATCTGCCTTGCCAATTAAAGTAGATTAAGATACAGAATATCTGTATTGTGCTCATTCAAACTCCTTCCTATGAAAAATATATGCTTGTCTTTGGTGCATTCGGTGTGCTGTGGATGGTGGGGACCATTCTCCCTGAAGTGGGCACAGCTGATGGTAAACATAATTGAATTGTTTTGTTTTAAAAGCTTTTGTTTGTCCTACTAATATCAACAAAAGGATTCTTTATTTCCTGTTGCTGTTGACTGTGTATAGACTGTGCATTTTTGTGTCACAAGGTGAGGTGCCTGAAAGTGGACCGGTGGCACACAGGAACTGAACCCTTGCGCTGCAAGACATGGGCAAGTTACTAGGAGTGAAAAACGGTTCTCACTTGATGTAAGGAGACTTTTTGACCGTTTGGATAGTCAGGTATCAGAACAGGTTGCCCAGGCGAGTTGATCGGTCTCTCTCCTTGGAGGGTTTCAAGACCCAACTAGCTCAAGCCGTGAGTGCTGTGGTCCCATCCCGTTGCTGACCCTGCTTTGAGCAGGAGGTTGGGCTGGGGACTTCTGAGGCCGGGCTTGTTCTGGGGGTCTAAGCATTAGCACCACAGCCCTGCCTTGCCCATTTCACTGGGCTGTCAGCTCTGAGTTTGCAAAGTGATTGGTTTGATTACTCATTAAAGAGGAGATTTACACGTCGAAAAGGCTGTGTAATATGTGAGACAGAAGAGAAAAAGATCTCAGCAGAGATCAGTTTGTCTTTGAAGCAGGGTTTTCAGCCTCTGGTGTGCTGAGAGGCCTGGGAGCCATTTCTGATGGGGCAGGCTGGCTCTGGTTTTGTACTAATTGGTCCTTTAATTGTGCTAATTTTGTATATGTTAAAGTTTATTATGTGTTGAAAGAGCATGCCCTTACCTTTTCTCCCTCGTTGTGTTTCGGAAGCCCTGGGTCACCCAGAAGAGGCCAGCCTAAACCAGAAAACCATCTCTGATTAGCACAGTCTTGTTCTCGCTGGACTGATATAAATCATATCTGTTAAGATAATGGAAAGTGTGGGGAGGGGTGTGTGCAGGGAGGGTGGAAGCTGGTCGGGCCAGAAAATGCAGCCTGATGATTGCAGTGCTTAGAAGAAGCAGGGAGAAAGAGGAGCTGAAGCTGCCACTGCCTCAGCTGCTTAAAAATTGTCATTGTTTTTAAACCTAAAATCTTAAACCAGTGAAGCTGCTGTAATTCTTTCACTAATTGGACAGATCTAAGATTTCTCTGCAGATTCTTCTGAGCATGTAACTTCAAAAATTATGTGATAAGTTTTACTTGCTAAGTATGTGATCTGCCATAGCTTCTCCCCCTCCTTTGAAGCTCTTACTCGGTAAGGACTCTAAGCAGCACTTAACTGGTGCTGTCCTGGTTGCAACTGGTTTGAGGCTGCCCTTTTGAATCAGTTTTTGTTGCTACAGTTTTTGATAAGCTTTTGCAAGGTGTAGTCTGGCAGCACAGCAGAGCTCGTGGAGTGAGCGGCTGCTGTTGAAAGAGATGATGTACAGTCTCAGCAGCTCCCTTGGGCTGACAGCAGCATTTGACCGACTGCGCATCGAGCTATTCAGAAACCTGAACTAGTAGAAAATCAACATTTTTCCTGCCAGTTAAGTCTCTGGGCTGGCTTGCTGGGAGGTCAGCTGAGCTGCTGGCAGCAGCGCTAGAGGAGTGACTCCTCTGTATGGTCAAGCTGTTTTCTTAGACTTTACTTCTCTTGTATTTTAAGTCCGTAAACCAGCACTGAAGCTGAAACAAGCAGTCTTCTTATACCTGTCTTTTCCCCACGATTGCAACACCTCATTCTCTGTTGTTCCAGTCAAGAATTTGTGTAGCCATATGCTGAACTGCAGCAGAGAATTTGCTTGGCTTGATTTTGTTTCGATGGATTAGTTTTCACCGGGTTTCTTTTGCATCGCTGCACAAATGCTCACACTAGAGCGAGCGGGTGGTAAAAGGGAAGGAGCAAGAGGCCCAGGGTGCAGGGCAGGGTCGCTGCTTGTGTGACCCTTATGTCACTTCTCTAGGTGACCCTGCTCTGGCAGGGGGGTTGGACTTAGGTGATCTTTCAAGATCCCTTCCAGCATTCTGTGATTCTGTGACTGAATCGGAGTTGCCAGCTCCAGCTGTCTTTATTGTGTGCCTAGAATTACAGCATTAGGCAATGGCTCTGTGCCTGTTATTTCACTGGTCTGCAAACATTTTAAAAATGCTTTCTGGGTTTATGAATTTGTCCCTGTGACTTTTGGGAAATGTCCTTTCTTTTTTCCTCCCTGTGAGATTCCCTTTGCCATATGGGCTGTTGAGATCGACGTGACGGAGGGATTCATTCCAAAGACATAGCCACAGGGAGGCTGTATTGAAAATGTTTGCTGGGGCAGGGACAAGACTTGTTTAAAGTGCTGACCATCTTGAAATCTTACGTCTACCTGGAAAAAAAAAGAAGACAGCAGCTGTGCGGCTCAGTCAGAAAACGCTGGGACCCCCTGTTGCAGAGGGAGGTCTTGGAAGGTCTGGTGTTTGGCAATCAAATAGTTCCCTTAGTCTGCCTGGTTTGCGATGTTCTGCAAGTCCATGATGCGTCCTAGAAGATGAAAATGACTCTCATCAGTTACTGTCTGCGGAGCCTCCACGTTTTCTTAGGAATCCATTACGCTGGAATGAGGATGTCTGTCTTAACAGCCACTGCCCAGCTCCCAGCAGCTTGCTTCTTCCCTGCACGTTTCATACCTGGTGGGCTGTGCAGGACTGAGGTGTTTAACTGCTTCTGGACCTTTTTGTAACGCTTCCTGTTATCGTTAGCCTTCATTTGATTGGGTCGAGGCTTGTGATCTCTTCCTTAGCACAGCAACTGCTGTTCTACCTCCCTTTTTCCATTTGCTCCAAACTGCGTTTGTCATAACTTGATTGTGCTGTCATTACGATAGTGTTTCTCAGCATGATTTTAGCTAACAACCTGCTATACTCAAAAAAGAAAATCCACAAACCACCTGGTGCAGTTTTAACTGTCCTGGTTCTCCTTTACACCTGGATACTGTAGCGTAGTATAGGGCTGTACTTCTGCTACTTATCCATGGGGCTTTTTGCTCCCGTTTTGTTTGCGTGTGTGGAAATGCGTGTGTGTATTCTGGTTCGGTTTGTGTGTTATGAAGCTGCAGTCATTTCACAAATTGCTTCTGGTGTTTAATGGAGAATTGGTTGAAAATAACTATCAAAGACTGTTTTCCAAAGAAAGCCACTTCCATTCTTCAACAGCCGTAATTTTCTGTGGAACAAAGACAAATGAACTCATTTTCGGTGCAGTAAGTGAGGTTTCAGCTGGTGGGAATGTATGGTTGATGTTCAGTACACTGTTCTAGCTGGGTATATGCTTTATAGCCTGAACCTCGTGAGCAAAGTAGGAGCTCCCAAATTTCAATTAAGACCTTTTTTTTTTTTTTCCCCATAAAATACTTTTGATGCTGAAATATTCTATTCTCATTCTACCTGTGAGTCCCCATAACTGTTGTTGTGGGACTACCCGATTAGCTGCTTCACTGGGGCAGTGTGGCAACTTTCCTAATTCGGTTGTTTTTCACCTTTTGCAGGAAGCAGCAAACATGCTACGTCTTACGCAGAACAGGCTGAAGGAAGAGGAACAGCATCTGCTTAAGAGTAAGTGGGCTTTCTTCACCGCTTGTATTAGCAGAGAAGTTGTTATGGCTACTTCATGTGTAAGTATCCACTTAGAAGCATAAAGCAGAGGGGACGTGGGATAGATGCAGAACCAACAGGCTGTATTAGAAAAAGAGGCGTGACAGTAACTTTGGAAAGGAACTTAACCTCTGTGAAACACTTCTGCCGTGTAAATTTTGCCTGTGTTGCTGCGGGATGAAAACAGGAATCCACCAAACGCGCTGCGCAGCTGTGGTGAGCGGGTTGTAGCCTTCGTTTTTCTATTATCAAAGCCTCTATGAGTGCGCTGTGGGCACGGCACTTGTCCCAGCACAATGGGATTGCAGATGTAAGGTTCATTTGTGAACGAGCTTGGTCAGATGCTTCTGTTGAGCAAAACGGTTGCGTGTAGGCGAGCAGTCGCATCCCTTTGTGGGCCTCTTCATCCACGCGTGAACCACATGACGCCTTGTACCGCACATGTGCCAGCGTGCCTCGCGAAACTGGAGCGTAATTTCTGTCCTTAGCCTGCCACATTGCGTGATGTGGAGTTTGGTGATGGGTTTGGGCTAATTCTTTGTGATGTGGCTATTGGGCAAGAACTTTCACACGTGAAAAACTCTCAGCTTGGAATCTTCTTTAGTATTGCTAATCTTCAGAGTGGATCCGTGTTTGCCTGCTTGCATTTGCCTGATTTTAGTGTGCCTGCAAAATGTGAACGCTATTAATATTTGAGTTTTCTTTTGTTTTCTGAACTTACTCTTAATTAGCTAGAATTCTAGCTGAGAAGTAAAAGGGAATAATAACCTCTTGAGATTTTGTAGAGAGCTAACGGACCAGATTTTGCTCCTTTTGAGCCAAAAGTCAGCAAGAACTTCTTTATTAATTACCCCTGTGAATTTAATATTGCAGTATGTGCATTTTTATATGGCAGTGGGAGGCAATAGAAGGAAAGTTAATTCTTGGGTTCAGGAGGAGAGTTCATGGAAGCTGAACTTGAGTAAGGACATAAAAGTTGCGCTTCACAGTTTGTTTGCCGGCAGAGATTTTTAGGGCAAGCTCATGAAAGAGGGAGTTCCCTCATATTTGCCCATCTTTTGTCCCGGTCTTCTAATGTCAGTGCAGTAAAACATGAAAAAGTTTTAGCTGAAACATAGGATTTGTAATATAAATTACAAGAATGTGGAATTGTTTTAAGGATTTACTTGAGTGAACAAGTCAACATCTTGCTGTCTGACAGTTTTCAGGGCAAATAGATTAATGAGAAAAACATCCATCATCAGTAATTAGCAGTGTGAAGCATAACATGAAAATTTGCCTTATCTGTTTTTTCCTTGTCTGCAGAAAAATACTGAGTTATTTTTGCATCTCTGAAATAACATGAACGTTTCTTTTTAGTGAGTAATTTAACTGCCACCTAATGTATGATTATGACTTTTAATGACCTAAAAATATTGCTGTAATACATCTCTATTCAAGTACTTAATTGTCATAATTAGTATTTATTCTAGTGGTAAGAGCACCAAGATCCTGTTTTTCAGCGCTGGCTCGTTCATTGACTGTCCCACAACCTTAGGAAAATCAAGTCATTTATCGGCTCCAGTCCATGTTTATCTGCACACCGTGTGGAAGCTTGCAGAGGTGTAACCGTGGCAGTACTTTTGGCTCTTGGAGGCTGTTTCCCCAGTCACGAGCACAGAGCACGGCTTCGTTGCTTTAGGTTAATTTGTCGGATGAACTTTCCTCTTAGACCAGACTCCCCTCTCCTCCTCTCGTTAGTATTAATTAAATGATGCCCTTTTTACAATTCAAAGACCACATGATTTGCTTTGGGAAGGGAATGCAGAGGTTGATGCCTTAAATGGCTTAGTGCCCTAGTAGGGATACATTTACAGAACAGTTGCAATCATTCCAGGACCCTAGTCACAAGAAAAATACATGGATTTTTTGCACAACATGTTTTTTTTACTAAAGCTCCCATGAGGTGCAAAACACAGCTTTTTGGATGGTGTAGGCTGGAGTCTGGTGATAAATTTGTTACCGTTAACTGATCAAAGCCAGCATCCATTCTGCCCCATAAGCACTCTGACCTTTGCGTACCTTCGTAATTGATTTTCTTACTGCCTCGATCCCTTGACCTTATCTTCTGCTAATTTGGTAAGAAGAGGTGTAAATTAACAGTTCCTTTCTCTGCAGCAGAAGTTGCAGGAGTTCTGGACAGCTCTCAATTGAGTTTCAGGCTGAACTAGCACCCGGGAAACCAAAATCTTATTTCTTGTAAAGAAGAGCCGTGGAACATAGGTTGAATTGTGCAGGTCTGTGTTAAAAGTATAGAAAAACCCATGGATATGTTATGGTATTTGCATCAAATTTGCAAAAATGAGATAGCCTGGTTCTTTTTTTACTTTTGCTAGCATACATTGCAAAACATCCTTTATTTCCGGCAGTGCACCTCCATAAAACCACTGCTCTAAAAATCAGCAACAACAGAAGAGCTTTTTTTCTGCAATCTTTATTTCACGTAAGGTGCTCACAGAGAAACCAATATACGATGTGTTTCTCGCACAATGCGCTGCCCTTGTGTCACGTCCAAGGCTGGTGCAAAGTAGCAAATGCCCACGGACTGAAACTCAACGCTTGGTTTCGTCAGGGTTAATGGCACAGTGGCTCTTAAAACTTTTTATATCGCACACCCTGGGATGCTGTGAAGGCTGTTGGCAGAGCTCTTGTCAGGTGTAAATACACCAAGGGATGCTCTGATAATGGTTTGGAGTGAGAAGACAGGAGAGGTCACTGGCCACAGCAGAAATTCAGGATGTTTTTTCAGGCTCACACAAGGTTGAAAAAACATGTTTACTGAGCAAATAGTGACAAGGGGAAATGTTTCTACATTGAAATACATTTTTTTTTTTTTTCAGATGCATAAGCTTGTTACATTTACAGATCTTCCTCACTTTTTAACACACTTTCACATGTATTCTCGCTTTCTTTCCTTCTGAGTTTTTTTTGTCAATTTAAAAGCAGACTATATAAACTATACTTTAAAAAAAGGTAAAATATTTTGGTTTGAAAACATAAACCCTTTGATTTTTTTTCAAAATATTTCCTGTATTTCTTTTGGGCAACACTGTGCCTAGGATTTGATTTCAGTTTGCAAAAGTGTTTGCTCTAAACCTACATTTTTTTCTGGGACTGGACTGCTTTCAGGTGTGCTGCACCAGTCCGCCCAGCCCGCGCGCTCTGGCTGAATCGCCGTCCGTGTTAAGCAGCGTTTTGCAATTTGCACGACTTCGGTGTTGTTCAGCAACAGCCACAGCATCAACTGATGCTCCTGGAGAGCTTCAGTTCTGCTCCATCCGCAGCCAAAGTGTTTCCTCGGCTGGTTCTCCTTGCTGAGCTAACTCCATCTTTTCTATCAGCCAAGTGCTGAGCTGGGTGCAAGAGATTTAGCCCAGCGCGCTGGTGGGTGCTCTGCTAAATCTCTTGTACCCTTTCTTCTCAGCATCGGTGCTTTAAAATCCGACAGCAGGGCAAGGAAGAGCTCTGCTGCAACGGTTGCGGCAGTGAGTCGCTGCGTAATTCCCGTGAGGGGGAGACCCGTATGATGCCGCTAATGCTCAGCCCCGTGCCCAGCAGGATGCTCAGGCCATCTGTCTTCTTGTAACAGACGCTTGGAACTTGTCCACAATGATCTTGGGTTTTGCTTGTTAAGTAATTGCAAATTCATGTTCTAATCTAATAGTACTTGGATGGATTCTTGGCTTTTAGGATCATTAGAAATAGTTACGGTCACCGAATATACCCTCCCCATAAAATGGGCCAAAAAATAGCTTAGGTGCTTATTCCTTTGCCAAGACTACAAATCCCACTTTAAATGGAGCTTGTCACCGGGAGTTCATTTTAAGCATTTCAAGTGACAGAGACCTATTGCTTCCCTGGACAGCAGTTAGTCATCCTTACTGTTAAAAATGTGAGCTTGGAAACTGCAGCCATGGACCATTTCAAAATGACCAAGTGAGGTAAGAAAGTGCATTTAGACCAACCTCTGCAACCTCCTGGCTGGGGTTTGTTGGTACGTGATCGGTAGCTCTTGGTACCCGGGTGTTTTTTTTCTTGGAGATCAGGCAAAGGGTCTCAGTTTTGTGCTAAAGACAAAGGATGTTGTCTGCTGAAACTTAAATATCGTTTCTGTTCGGTTTGCAGAGCTGCAAATACATAAGTGTGCAGGCTGATACGCAGCTTGATGCTCTCGAGTTTGGTGAGATTGTGGCATTTGGTAGAACTGAGGCTTTTGAGTGGACACTGAACTTCACTCTCCCTTTGGTCACATTAAAATCCCAATCCATTTCCTTTTTTTACCTGTTCTAAAATTTCATGCTATTTATTAAATGGATTTTATTTTGGATCAAGTGGCTGTCAGTTGCCCACTTGATTTTTCTCAATTTTTTTTCACCAAAATAGACATCCTGCTGGATCCAGTAATTGCTGTGGAGCCAATGCCTGTGTTTTCAAATAAATGATTTATATTATGGAATTGAACATGCTAAACTACACTTACATCTAGTTCTAAAGCATAACAATAAATTATGTCCTTTGTGCTCATTATCTTCACTACAGCACTTTCTTATTTTACAGTTGGATGCATTTACTTGAATATTTATGCAAAGTAACAAATCTGTAATGTAATCACTGGCAAGTTATTAAATCATGCTGGTTTTCCCTCAAGTGTTGCAAATTGCCCCACCACCCCCCCAAAAAAATAATTTAAATACACTGTTATCAGTCCAGGTATCTGCTCTGGGTTTTTCTGGAAACAGTGGGTATGCTTTGGAACAAATAACGCATCCTCCAGGAGCAGGATGTGCCTGGACTGCTTTAAATAAAGCTCGTTTTGTTAACTTAAACCCACCTTTATGAAATGGAGATGTTGAAATGTAAGGCAAGTGCAGTTTAAAATCCCCGTATATTCCCTCTCAGGTAGTCTGATATTTTGCCAGTGTTCTCTGTGTGATAAAGTAAATCACAGCACACGGAAACGGGCCAAACACAACTTATAGAGTTGTTCTGTCGATTACCTTTTTGTAGTAAAAAGACAGGAGCTTGTTAAAACACCGGCCTTAAGCTCCAGTGAGCTGTCAGCGTTGGCCTAAATTTGGGCACGTGGATTGCTGAATAGCAGTTCGTGGTGAAAAGTCAAATAATCTTCACCTAAACCCATGCAAATCTCATAAGCCAACTGCATTAGAATGCGTTCTGTACTCCCCGTACTAGTACGTGGGGATTTGTGTGTGTAATTATCTTTGCTGCTTTATGCTGATACTGAGGAAAATCTAAGTTTTCCCCTTAATGTTCCTTGCCTTCCTCGAATTGATGTGTTGTAATTTTTTTTAGGCAGTATTACATAGATGTGGTTGCGACTTCTCCTAGGGCAGCAAGTAATTTCTTTCTGTATGTTTTCAGAGGAAACTTTCTGATTTGTCACCTTTTTATGAATACCGAAAACCTTTTGTTGAAAACTGGACGAGCTGGGTGTGTACAACGAGGGCCGTGGGATGGTGGAACCCTGTAGAGCTCTAGCTGGGACTAGTCCCACATTGCTTTGGACTAGTCTGCCATTTAATCCTCCTTAAGAAGCCTGGACTCAGCTTATCTTTATCTTGTACATTTAAATGATTTTTCAGCAACATGCTCTGCTTCTGTGTCCTTGGGTTTTTGGCACAGCACAGTTCTGCTCAGCTGATGGTAACTCGGATTATATACCGGACAGAGCCAGGCTTGGTGATAGCAGCCATTGAGCTGGGTTGGAGCAATGCGTTTTTTAATTTTTTTGTAAGTGAAAAAGGTCCTCGATGTCTTTCCAAGTGGTGAGTGTGTGCATCTGAATTCTGACTAGATTATTCAGAGAAAATCCAAGCTCACAGTATAATCCTTTGTTTCAAAGCTCAGTAGGAGAAGTGGTGTGCTGTGCTTTTTCACACTGGTAATTCACCTGCGGAGTCTTCTCTTCGTTTGTATTGGAAGGTAATCCAGGGGTTTTACAGGTGTAAACGACTCTAGCTGTACAGTTCCTACTGGCTGGGCTTGTCGAGCACACTTTGAAATACAAGTGCTAGAGCTGGGGCAGAAGGATGAAAGAAAGAGTGTGAGAAAGAGAGAAATGAAAACAGCAGAGGACCAGAGCGAGAGAAGAAAAAGACTGTGTGAGCGAGGCAAGAAATTTGCATTTAAACCATTTCCTTTTGTGAAATAGCAGCTTGGAGACCCTGAGCCTCTGATTCTCTCTCTCTCTCTCCATGGTAGGTATCACTTCTGTTGCAAGGCACTGACTGTGGGGTTGTCAGCAAATCCCACTTTCTAACAGAAAGATACTGTGGGGAGTGATAGGGTGGAATGAGCTCCCTTTTTGTAAGTTGAGGGGGGTCAGGAGGGGCTGGAGAGCCCAGGAGCACGCTGCAGGAGAGCGTTAGGCCATCCGGAGAGAACACTCCCACGTGCGGCAGAAGGAAGGTGGCACGTTCATCCCTGTTTATTCTTGTCTTCTTCCTGCTGCTTCATCCCAAGGGAAATCTGTTTTACTTGGTGTGTCTGAGAGTCTGTTACCGCAAAAGGTCGAGAGATCCCAGCAAGAAGCAGAAAGTGCTAATGGGGATGAAATTGAGACGCTTTGGCAAAGTGCAGTCATTGAAGGCTCTCTGTGGCATCCTCACCTCTGGCCAGCGGTGCTGTGTGACAAGAGGAGCACAAATGGCAAAACCTGAACGGGAGGAATTGCTGCTCAAAAAAAAACAAGAAGAAAGGGGGAAGAAAGAAGAAAAAACACCCAATGCACACACAACATGAAAGTGAGGGTGTTTTAGAAGGAGCAGTGGGAGCCATCTTAGATGAGTCTTGTCCTTTAGCATAGAGAGCACGAGCCTGAATTTTTTATTTAGGCTCCACGTGGCTTTTCTCAAGATGTTTGCCTGGGCAAGGGCTGAACAAAACCTCGCTTTCCTGAATACCAGGTAAACAGAAACAGTATTCAGGTCACACAGCAGTGAGTGATTCCTTCACTTGCTAAAGCTGATGGTGTAACACAAATAGAAATTGTAGCTAATGTTGCTGGAGCCCCATAAGCATACCAGGGTATTATGTACATCCCTTGCCATTATATTTTGTCATTAACTTAATACTGCAATGAAAAAGATTATGGAAAAATGCCTAATATTTATATTTTGCCCAATAATTAAATATTGCCGAGATGTGTTGGCTCATTGCTAATCATAATTAAAGTAGTTATTTCCATTTTCAGCTCAGACACACATGTAATTGAAATGTACCTGGGAAAGAATTGTTTATTTTCTCTAAATAATTAACAGCTATTGTTGCTGCACCAGGTGCTAACCTCGCGCTGTGTCCGATTGGGTTTGTCCTAGCACTGCTAATTCCCCGAGCTCCTGCAGGCAGGCCATCACCCAGCTCCAGCTCTGCACTCTGGGATCTGATCTCTCCACGAGTGAGAAGAGTTCACGAGGTGACAGGAGACGAGCATCTGGCTCTTTGATGGAATGTTTGAAGAGAAGGGAGTGAATTAATCACAAGTCAGCAGGGGCTGGAAAGCAGAGCTTGGTCTTGGTGACCCAAGGATCTCCCGCACGCAGGCTGGTGCGAACAAGAGAGGGGCTAAAAAAAGAGCTCAAGGAGGCTGAAACGGAGCAGAATCTGCTCCAAACTCGGCACACACTTCTGCACTAACCTTCTGCCCACTGTTTTAGTTCAGAATAGGCTCAGAGGAGAACTGGTTTGGTTGACCACACGTGTGAATCTCAAGGTAGGACTCATGCAGCTGACATGGGAAGCAGTCTGCCCTTTTCTTTTCAGAATCCAAAGACTTTTGTCATCCTTTCAAACATCCGAAGGACAATTTAAATCCTTGATGTTTGTTCCAATTTGGTGACTGGGGAGCTGGGAGTGAGGGACTAAATAGGCTTTCGTTTGGACAGAAAGAGAAGAACTAAGGTAGACTATGAAAATGTATTAAGAAGGTTCTGCATTTTGGGGAGCTTTCCTGTCCCTCCTAGCATAATGGGTTTGACTGTATCTGCATTCCTTAATCTGGGGATGTCTCACTGTGCTTTTCTAACTTATGTTTAAATAAAAGGCAAAGAGCCTAAGGGGACATTTTGTGATATTCCTTATGTCAGAGTAAAAGGCTTGGAGGCGTGTTCATAAGCCCACACTTTACAAATGCTTTTAAAAAGTTTTATCTTTAAATCAGTTGCTGAAATGACACTTTCTGACTGTTGCTTCATAGCCAGAGAGTGTGTTTAGAATAATGCCTTTATAGTACAACCTGAGGATTCTCCTAAGACATTTATATTATGTGCTTCTTTGGCATGTCTATGTGGAAGGATGCCTTCCTTAGGCTGTAGGCATGGGTTGCTTCCATGTACTCGTCAGCAGAGCCAGCGTTCTGCCTGTGAATGCATTTTTAATTAATCTTGGACTTGAACAAAAGTAGAGATGGCTGGCATCTCTTGTGCCTGACTGCTCCGCTGAGTTGTGAGTTGGTTTGAGCGATATTCACCAGCTGTTTTTTGTTTTAACCAGATAATGATGATTCTGACTTAGAGATTCAAGAGGATGAAGGATCTGATGGCAAAGTGGAAGGCAGACCCGTTATGAAGCAGCGCAACGCCACGGAAACACTACTGCAAGGTATCTGAGCCTTTCCTTAGTTGCTGTTATTCAGAAGGATATGCTGGAATTGAGTAACCTTAAATGTAAGAAGATGCTGTTGTCTTCAAGAATATCGATACTGTTCAATCTTCATGAACTGTAAGAGGACAGTGGCTTGTAGAGAAAACATAGTGCTTCCAAGGGAGCAAATTAAAGATAATTTACTGGAAAAAGTACTGTGTAAGACAGATCTTTCTGCTGTTTATGTGTGGTGGAACTCTGGTCAGAGCAGCTTGGAGCAATTACTGTCTGAGTGTCTGCGCTTCCCTTAGGTAGAAAAAGAAACATTCTCCTTAGTCTATAGTCAAGAAGGATGAAACCAGAAAATCAAGTCAGTTCTCCTTGGTGTTCTTGTTAGTGGTGAGTGATTCTGGCCATCAGAAGAAGTCTCTCTGGGATGTGGATGAAGTAGCTGTGGGGGTGGTTTCATGTGCCACAGCTTCTGCTGGAACCTGGTACTTAGAGAAGCTGCAAATACGTATTTTTTTTCCTGAGTTGAATTCTGCTCTGCCCTCTCTGGCTGAGACCAGAGTAAGAAGCTGAAGTTCTCAGATTTAAGCATTTTTATCCTTTTTTTGTAAAGCTTGAAATTTCTTGGTAAATACTAGAAAAAATAATGATCAGTAAGGAATGCAGTTTCTCAAGGAAAGGTTTGTTTTTAGAGTTTGACTGTAAGAGAAGACTTTCTCCCTCTGTAACAGGTATTCTAGTATGTTTTGCCATTACAGAGGCAAAATTCTCAGGGAGATATAATCTCTCTTATTAGGCCACTTGGTGTAATTGAGAAAAAACAGCACACTTTCACCTTCAAGAGTCTTTCATCAGGTTTGTCTAGATGCAGCAAAATTCAAACCAAATGCGGCTTTGACAGTATTGCTCCTGGTTTGAGTCTTTTAGCCAATTAAAGACTTGAAGCTGTAGGAGTTAGTCTCCCATGGAGCAGAGGAGAGCGTTAGCCGGGGCAGACACAACAGGCTGCCAGCCCCTGTGGTACAGAGAGAAAATCGAACCCTCGTTTCCCCATGCAGGAAGAGGACTAGGCAGTGGCAGGTTAAGGACAAACCTGTAACGTGCTGTGGGCTTGTGTCTCCTTTGAGTTCAATGCTTCTGGTTGAGCAGGATGATAAACCCAGTGTTAGGAAGCCAGGAAGGTTTTTGTGCAAGGAGGGAGCAGGCATGGGGGTGAGAATAAATGGCTGGGAGGGTAGTTGCCAACTTGACAGGGGCTGGCTTGCTGATTTTGTGAAATGACAACCTGCTTCATTATCACAGTAGCACAGTTACAGGCAGACCTTCTCCTTAATGGGGCTGGTTATAATAAATCCACATGTCAGTAACTGTTTGCTTTTGTAACTTAGAGAATGCATTGATTTATCGTCTGTAACTTTTAGTTTTAACATTGTTAATGTGAATAAAAATTCACACCCACTTTTATTCTGTCTGGCAATAGGTAAGTGAGGCTGTCACATAAATAAAATAGGTGCATGGACTTCCCTGAGGTCAAACCATGAGCTAGCGACAGCATGTGGAATAAGACTCTGTTTTGTCAGAGAGCCAAAGAAAATGAGAGAAATTCTCACCGTGTCGAAGGTCTTAACTCTCTGCAGTGTGAAGAACCTGAAACCAGGAGTTTGCAGCAGGATGGTTACTCTGTTTGGTTGTTCAGAGGGAACCTGGTCTGGTGGGAGGTGTCCCTGCGCACAGCAGGGGGGTTGGAAGGAGATGATATTTAAAGTCTCTTCCAACCCAAACCATTCTGTGATGTGCAGGGGAGTGGAGGCACGTGCAGCAGCTGCCTGCTCCTTGTTGGATGTCTTGTTCACACAGAGTTCCTGTGGCTGTCACCTACCTGATCTTTAACAACATGTTGTTTCTTTCCTTGTCTCTGGTTCCTAAAAGAAATTACATCTCTGAATCCAACACCAAGAAACGTATGCAGGTGCTTTTATCTTCACAAATACAAGATGGTAACAAATCTGCAGGTTTTCTCAAAATGCTGCGTTCTTCCCTCTTGTGGAAGTGAGTCTTGATAAATGTTCTTGAAGCCAAGTTCCAGGCAGCATTCAAATGCTGAGTGATCCCGTCCCTGATCTCTCAGCTGCTTCTTACTGGCAGTGCAGGTTAGTGCAGGCTCTGATCTCCCTCTTTGCTGCTTCCAAGTCACTCCCCACCTCACTCTCTTCAGAAACCCTAAAAAAACTGTGATCAGGATCTCCCTGCTGCTGCAGCCAGAGCATGTGGACTTCCATGTTGAAACCCAGATGTCTCATTGTGTGTGTTTGTTTTGATTTAACATCTGTGAAAGCGAGGAGACACGAGGATCTGGATGTCACACGTACTGTGCTGGTGGCAGAGGAAGAAGGCTGAGCCATAAGGAACAGGTCCGGCAAGGAGGTATTGGGCTGCACATTAGCAGGATTCAAGTTTTCTAGCTGTTGTCACGGGGGGAAAATTTCACAGATGCACCTGCTCTCCAAGCACCTCAGAGAACTTGACCAAACTGGTATTGCTCTCTGTGAGCTTTAAAATAAATTCCTTCCTTGTGAACTTCATCAGGCAGAATTTTGCTCTGACCAGGGCTTTGTACGCGTGGCGTGCGGTGGGTCCTTGTGACTGTGCTCCTGGAGTGAATATACTTCTCTGCTAAAGCAAATCAGGTCCTTATTGTAAACCTTATGAAAGCATTTTGGAGACTCAGATTAGTCTCTGCTTCCTTGTCTCTTTGGGTCAAGTGAGAGGGGAAAAAACAGTCAGCGCTGAAAGTTGAGCTACTGGGTCTGGCTACAAGTACTTGGAGGAGACCAGCCTGAGGAGAGAGCAAGCTGACACAGCTGTCTCTTCCCATTTTCCCGTATTTCTATGGGGATCTCTGCAGATTCCTGTCCTCCAGATAAGAGTCTGCAAAGTCTTTAGTTTCCTGACATAGCAGCTGCTGGACAACTTTATTACCAGACTCACATAGCTAGAGAAAGGAGAGCAATCAGATGTGTTTGGAAACACCAAAAAGAGGCTGTGATTGGAATTTACAGAATTAATTTATTTTAATTTGAAATAGAGCTTTCTCTCACCACCTCAGACAGCTCCTAACAGCTAGGTTGTCCTAACCTCTCGGGTTAAGCGTCGCTTCTTGCTGTCAGGCACAGGGTTAACATACACCCACCGCTGGGTCAGATGTAAATCATTCTAGTCCTGTGGATCCATTATAGGCAGCTGCACGGGTGAGTACAATGGCAAACATCACATGCAGAGGAAAAATGACAAATGCTTACAGGCTTAAAATCCTGGATGCACGTTCCCTTCTGATCTGTGGTGCCGCAGTGGCTGTAAACCGCGGCAATGCACTGAAATTAGATTTGGATTCAAAGGTGCAGTGAATTATGGTCCGTTCGTTACTAGCATTTTCCCTAATTATCACATTGTACAGCCTGTCGAGGCTGAATTCACATTCTCTGTAGGTAAACAACAGGCTCTTGCCCAGCTGCGCGAGCCTCTGTGGCCGGAGTGGTGCGGCACTAATGCCGCAGCCAGCTGGGCCCAGCTAAATTGAGCTCAGGAAATTTCAAGTGACAAACACCCACGTAACCTCCAGCTCTCCCTGTCCTGCACAGATGACTCCTCCGTTTCCTGCCTCCTCGCTGTACACGTGGAAACGCACTGCGGCTGTCAGCCACCCCTCGCTGCTCCCACGCACAGAAACTTGGGGGGTTTATGATCTGTGAGTTAAAGTAACGCTCCTGCCTTCGTCACAGAAGTGACCCAGGGTTCTGTGACAGCACCTGACGCTGCCGATCCCATGGTCACTTGTTCAAAGAGGTGCTCCTGGCTTAAGTGATGTGGGGATCAAAGTCTGGGTGGTGCCTGATTTTTGTTTTTCTTCAGATGTAAGCAGTTAGATGCCCCTAAGATGTCCTTACTGTTTCCACCAATGGAAGAGCAGCATCCTGCAGACCTTCTGTTACCATTAACTAAGCTCTTCCTGTGGCATTTCTGAGCTGTCCTTTTTCATCAGCGCTCCTTAGGTGGTATCCTTATTCTCTTCTATATTCAGGATCTCTCTCAGCGTCATCTTGTCAGTATATTTTAGAAGCTCCCTGCTGTTTTCTCCTTGGAGGTAGTAATTCTTTATCTAACACTTTATGCTGAACGTTTTACATAGCAAAACTTGTTAAACTCTTGGAGATGTGTGAGCTGGGCAATATGTGGTTCTGTGGTCATCTAATGATGTCAGTTGTAGTCGTCTCTGAATTCATCTAATTCTGATTTCATCTAATGATTTCAGTTGTAGTCGTCTCTGAATTCACGTACTTTAGTCTATATTAGAGCAAACGTCTCTAAAGCTTGAAGAGAGTTCCTCTATCCAGGAACCTTCTTATAATTCCATCTCCACGGCCTGCGTTATCAGCAACTAGATGGATAGAGTACGCTGCTCGTTATGTAATGGTTTAAGATCCTTTTAAGTTATCTGCCTTGACACAGCAAGAGTTTTTGGTGACTTCTGGTTGAGTTAACCAGCTTTTTGCTACAACTAACAAATCACTTTGCAAAGGGGATGAAAGGGACTGGTCTTCTTTTGTACTTTGAGAGGTACAGAAGGGGCATGATGGAATATATTTTCAAGTTATTTCTCGTGCAAAAAAAACCATAAATTATGTCTAGACTGGAAAAATCCGTATTTAGCATAGAGAAAACTAGTGATGGCAGAGGACGAACAGACGGCGAAATGTGGTGGTCACAGCAGGACTGTTAAATAGGTGTCCGGTTGGCGCTGAATGACTTCTGGTGGCTGCAGAGGGCAGGGCTGAGTCACCCACTGTGACTCCCACACAGACAGATGCAGAATTTCCCCAGTCACAAAGCTGCTGTACCCATTCCCAACACCTTCTGTGCTCCCTTCTAGCATAGGAAACTGTGCTGGCACCGCCCCCATTTCATATGGCCTCTACGTAGCCAAAAGCAAACAAAGCAAGTGTGGTCTCCCTTTCCAGTGAACTCCTGACAGCCTTGAGATCTTCACCTCCCTCTTCAGACTTAGGCACTCTAATAAGAAATTCTTGAGGGTGGCCTTGGCACTGCCTAGGACTCATTGGAGATGTCAGTCCCTACTGCAATATCAAAAAGGATCTGAGCACAGTGAGTTTTCTAAAGGACAGAAGGCTTACCACATGGAAAAGATGGACTTTTGTTCTCCGTGTACCAAAGCAGAGGAAGGAGTATGCCAGTTCAAAGAATTGTTTCAGTTGTTTCTAGATCATGTAGTCCAACCTCTCTGCTCAAAGAGCAGGTTTAGGCAGGTTGTCCAGGACCACATCCACTTGGGTTTTGAATACCTCTATGGATGGAGACTGCACAACTTCTTGGCAACCTTGGCCCAGTGTTTGATCACCCTCACAGTAAAAAAAAAAAAAAAAAAAAAAAAAGTGTTCAGATAGAATTTCCTATTTCTTCCTGTATCCATTGCCTCTTGTCCTGTCAGAGCTGTCATACTCTGAAATACCATCCTAACTGGAATTACTGTCAGCCTGCTACCTTCTCCTAAGCTGCAAGGCTTATAAGGGGCAAGGGGTGGTGTGGGAGGTGACCTTACATACATCGGGATCTCATCCTCTCACTGCCATTTGACTGGTCCTCTGAAATGTGAACTGGACTTTGTCTCTCAGTGTGAACCGTGAGCAAAGCTTTATGGTGATTCTCTTTGCTCTTGCAGGAAGAGCTGGCACACGGATCGTGGGAGCAATGCAAGGTGGAGGTACAGAGGAGGATGTAAGTAACCACCCCACATGCCGCTAGACCTTCTCTGACAGTGCTTTGGAATGACAGCCCTCTCCTCAGCTAGAGAAACACCTTTTTACCTTGTGAATCTTTATGCCCCCGGCCTGCTTTTCCCCTCCTTTCCTCCAGCTGACTGCTCTCATCTGCATAAACATATTTTCCTATTTTTCTTTTGCTCTTGGAGTCTCTGTGCACTGCCCTGTGCTTTAGCCTCAGCCTGTGGTGCTTAGCCAGCAGCACACGGGAGGCAGGAGTGCTGTTTTGTTAGGCTGTTGGGCAGATTGCTGGGAAGAGTGTAGCAAGAGTTGGATGTGTGGATCTGAATCCCCTAAAATTGTTTTAAAAACACAGTCCTTGGAGGCCTCTCTGGGGCCTGTACTAACAGCATCACACCTTCAGTCCTCCAGATAACGAGACAAGGATGAGAGCTGTTCCCTGCCTTGCAGGTAAAGCAGTCCCATGGCTCCTGGCTTTGCATCTGGTTATGGTTGACCCAGTGAGCGGGTTTGTACAGCAGGCACTTATTCTGAACTGCTGTGCTCAGCCTTTGGCATGCGTGGGCAATCTTCCTATGCCTCTGGGTGCTCCTAAGTGCCAGATCTGCACTGGGAACCTGAAGCCAGCTGCTGTGCTGTGGTTTGCATCCATAGAGTAAGCTCTTCCCAAAAAGATGCTGGCGTCCAAGCTGGCAACCAGGAGCAGCGAGGCTGTCCTGTTCCCCACGTGATGCTGGAATATCAGAGGGTGCTGGTTAGCACAGGCTTGAAACTGTGCTAGGAAGTAGTACAAACACTTAAAAACTACGACAGCTGTGGATTTGTGTTCAAACCTGTGCTGTCTGTTAATTTAGCAGTGTAGAAGTAGCCTTCCTTCTCGCTGTCCGGCAGACACCCTACTCAGTGCTGTCTGTCTCAATGAGAAGGGCACAGTATGTATTCAAACACCTCTGCACTCAGCAGAAGCCCTGTGCTGCTGGCAGATGATCTGTCTCTCTCGGCACTGCCCTGCCTTTTGCTGCCTTTGTAGCATAGAAATTAAGCCTCTCTGAAAGAAAGAATTTGCTTTTCAGAAATCCCTTCACAAAAGCCAATTGCAGACACCAGACCCTGGGGGAGCAGCGAAGCGCTGGCTTGGATCAGGAAGCAGAGGTTAATGGAGGTAGCATGATGCCAGGGTGTCCGGGAGAAGGTTTAAAATGAGAGGAAAGCAGGTGGAGGAATCTACCTCTACTGGACATAACAGTAGGAAAAATGCTGATGCTGGCCACCACATACAAAAGCTATTTGCTGTGGCTGGCTGACACCGCTGGGTTAGCCGTGCAAAGCTCTGGGCAGCCTATTTTCCTGCAGGCAGGGCCAGAGGAGAGAAGATACCTCCCTCTTAAGTGTTGGCTGAAGAGACCTGGAGGCACTATAGCAGTAAGGTAGAGTTAAGTCTCTCACTAGAGAGGAGCGAGCTGCTCTTCTTTCTGCCCATCCTCACCTCTTCTCTGGAAGGGAACTTCCAGACCGTGCTCTTCTGTTTACTTCTGCCAGACTGGATGTGGTTAAGCTTTCCGAGGAATGATTTATATCCTTGGCATTCAGACCCATTTCTGGGTGAAGTCAGGAGTGCCAGTGCTGTAGGTGAAGATGTTGTGACCTTAGTCATGGTGCTGCCTGATTGTCCTAGACCATTGCCAGAGTTGGATAGTCATCCTCTGCAATTCCTCTTCCCTTTGGACTTCCCTGTTTACAGCCTTCTCCCGTGTCTCCCTGTTGCCACAGCCCCAGCACATCCAGGTGTGGAAGACCAAGGCCTTCAAGCTTCTTACTGCCCTCGTCTGCAGCCACTTTAGTTGGTCTCATGGCTCTGCCCTCTTAACACAGCATCTCCGCAGGCACCAGGGCTGAGAGGCTCACTTAGGAACCCTTGCTGGCGTCTATGTGTCTGAGATCAGGGAAGGAAACTAGTGAGGATGATTTGAACCCCACAAAAAGTTAATGAGGTTATGGAATTGAGAAGAGAGCAGGCTTCAGCCTGCTTAAGAGCCAGCAGCTGCCTGCCCAACCTCTGTCATCTACTGATGTGGCACATGATGCCTGAGCTTTGCTGCCTTCTCCCTGCTCCCATTCTGATTATTTTCTGTTTTCTTTCATGTTCTTGTATTTTTTTTTTTTTTCCTCCCCGCTCTGCCTCTCCTGTTCTTTCCGCTCTGGCTCTCCAAGGGGAGATCTGCCCTAGCACGGCCAGGCACGTGCAAGATCGTCACCAAGGCACAGGTGAGTTTCTCTCCCGCAGTTAATTTCTTCCTCTAGGCCTTGAGTCTTTGGTCTCACAGTAGGCATCACTTTAAAGCTAAACACCCTGCAAGGTTTTTAATATGACAGATTCAGCAGAAGTCAGGAAGTTTGTTTTTTTCAGCCCCATGAAGTGTGAAAGGAGATTTGCAATAAATGGAATGGAGCAGCCACTGTCTTGCGAAGTGAGGAGCTGCTGGTGAAAGCCATGTGGGCCATTAGCTCCCAGAGGCAGTTGAGCTCTGGCTTTTTGTTATTTTGTTCCAGCCTGAACTGGAACAAAACCTCTTGCAGAACCTGCTGCTGTTCCCTTGAACCTGTCCAAATCTAGATCCGTAACACTCCAGACAGCCTTCCCCATAGCCCCGAGGTGTGTGATTGCACAGAACGCAGGGGAGGGAGCAACTTCTGTCAGCCAGCAGTGCCGTCCTTCACTTTTGAGCTGGCAAAGCTGCCTTGTCATCCGAGAACTGAATTGGTCCTGAAATCTGTTTGCTTTCCTGAAGGACTCGGGGGATTGTGAGATTGACCTGGATGAAGATGACGAGGAGGAGGATGATATGGAAGATGACAGTCACCGAGCAAGGAAGCCAGAGCCACCAGAGGAAAGCGATAATGACTTCTGACCCTTTTCTAGCAGGACCAGGAGGCATCTGGAAATACAAACTCTGGAGAACAGGCAGGCAAGGAGCTAATACCTTGCCAGTGGAAAACTACTTGTCAGCATGTTAAACGTTCATTAGACGTTCATTAGACGTTCATTAGACGTTCATTAAACTTGAAAATTAAACCTGGATTGTTGGTCTTGTGACTCTCAAAGCACAAGCAGTTTATCCGTAATGAGAATTGCAGTAATGTGGAGTGTGGTTATTTCCATAATTGCATTAAAACTGGCCCTTGTGCACTGCAGTGCCAAAAATTGCACACTAATGAGTATTGTGCACCTAATTTCCCTGCATTTTATTATGTCCAAACAGTTATTTTTGGCTTAGTAAAGCTGGGTGGAAAACTACTCTGGGAACACACTTCAATTGTTTTTTTGAAATCTAGCTTAAATCTATTTATGCTAAACAGATCCTTTACTTAATCGAAGGCTCTCCTCCACAAAGATCAACACCAGTTGCACTAACGAAATGGGAAACTGGTGAAGGGGTCTTCAAATACCACCTTCAGTCCAGCATTTCAGCTGTGTCAGTGAGAATTGTTCTCAGACTTCAGCAGACTGTGCTTGAGTGTTCTGAGAGCAGCCAAGGCAGCACTGTAACTAAATCCCAAGGAAATTAGCCTTTCAGTTATGCTGATACTTCTGGGGCAGACTGAGATTTAGGCACTTCAGGTGGGCCCAAAGTTGGGCTTTTGTTCAGTGGGTTATACTGATGACATCAGTGAGAGTGTATTCAGATGAACGCAAAAGCTGGAGGTTGTCTAGCATGTTACAGCCCCTTTTCTTTTAGCTCTACTTTACTATTACAGTTTTTCTTCATGGGAGCAGAAATCAGGCTCGGTATGAACAGTTCATTCTGGTGTGTGTGTCTGTCAGGGCAGGCAAGAATTCAGACTGCTTTGCTTCCCTTCCATTACATCAGCAAAAGTATTTTGCTTTCCCCCTCATCTGATATCTAGAGTCAGGTCTGATCCCTCTGTTGTTGTGCTGAAGGAAGGAATACATACGAGTTACTTGAACAAACAGGAGTTTTTTCATCTCTCAGTGTCTCTGATGCCAGCATCTGCCGTGCTGGGGCAGATCTCCCTTTGGAGAACCAGAGTGGAAGGATCAGGAGGCACAGAGCAGGAAAAAGAAAATACAAGAACACAGAAGAAAACACAGAGTAACCAGAGTGGGAGCAGGGGAGAGGGCAGCAAAGCCAGGTACAGCCAGGCATCATGACAGTGGAACTGTCACACCCCATCGGCAGAGCTCAGAGCTTGAAATGTCACGTCAAGCTGGGACAAAATTTACAGGTAAACGCAGCACAGGTTTTCTGTGGTAATGGGACATACGTGGGTGCAGTGATGTGCTGAAACACACACAATCATACAGGCTTGAGCTGAACTGGCTGACAGTTAGGACACTGCACCCTGCAAAGATAATTAATATTTTGCACCTAACCTCAAAGAAAGTAGACGGAGAAGATGCTAGTCTTAGTGTTAGAGCTGTCCGGGTGGTCCTGTGACAGCTGGTGACAAAGCGTGTGTGCTCGCCACATCCCTCTCCCAAGGGACGAAAATGTCCTGAGTTTAGGACCTAGTCTGAAAACGCTTTTCCATGTTACACAGGGAATCTGTTCTGGTCCTGTGTGCTGATATGTACCTGACCCGTCAGAGCGATCTCCTGCTGGATTGGACCCAGTCTACAGGTCTGGGCTGTGGTTCCAGTTACAAATTTCTGGTTTTTTTCCTGTGTTGTAGGCCACAATGGAAACCTAATTTAATATGTTGTGTGCACAGAACCAGAGCCTCTTCAGGCAGCACTGCCACCTAGCCTGTCAGCACAGCCTGACGGGTTTGCAGTGTGGGTTACTGCAGCAGGCTGGATCGGCAGCACTGTTAGCAGCCACCTCCCGCCCGGTGCCAGTGAAAATGAGCGCTTGAGCTTTCAGCTCAGTAGTATTTGTATATAGCTGGGGGGATATTGATGTGTACAGACAGATGAAATCTATTTCAAATTGCTGTTACCCCCCTGTTTTCTCGAGCTCCAGGGCATGGGAGGTGGCTCGGGGTTGTTGATTGCTCTCTCGACTGGTCTTTCAGGTGTTTCAGCTCAGGGTTGGGCACAGGTTTGGGCAGAGCTGGACTTGAGCCCCAGTCTGCCCTGAAATAGTGGTGAAAGAGGTAGGACTTCAGTCCCACAGTGTCACTGAGTCCTGTTGGAGAGTGTGTGCCAGCAGCTGACGTCTCATGGAAGAGCTGTGAGCCCTCTTATCACACCAGTACAGGTACAGCAGCCGGGGCAGCAGAGCACAGTGCCCCCTGAATGTCCCATGTAATGATCCACAACAGAGACAGAAAGGCAGCCCAAGGCATCTTCTCAGCTAGGAACCCATTTATTTTCAAATATGTACGTATCGCACAGCTCAGCCCAGCATTTCTCGAGGCTCAGCCCACAGAGGTCTCTGAAGCGATCGCTCACTGCCTGGCAAGCAGCAGCAGCGTCTCGGTGTGGGCTCTGGTGGAGTGGGGAGATGGAGCAGGGGCTGGAGGGGTCTCTGGGGGGCTTTTGCATAGTTTGGCTACCTGTCCGCCTACAAACCTGGCACCTTTGGGAGAGTCACAGGGTCACAAAGGCATCACCTGGCACCTCGGCTTTCAGCAGCCGCCTGCCGAAAAGGTGACCTGCTAGAGACAGATCCCACCTGCAGCTGGGATGTCAGGAAGACACATCCCAAGGTCACACAATTTGTCACTGGTGACAAGAGCAGGAGTCCCAAGAACTCGAGAGGCAGAACTTCATGATAAGGCAGTCCCAGTGCAGCAGTGAGACATGGGTGCTGGAGATGGCTCGTTCTCATGCTGTTCCTCTTAAGTTCATCCTCCCTCTCCTCCCGTTATCCTGAGGGCTCTTTGTGTCCCAAGCTCTTTCTAGATGGTTCCACTCCTGTGCTTTGGGTTGCCTGTCTCTTTATCAAAGAACACTACCAAACACTTCAGCCATGCTTGGCCAGCACCAACCTATTTTTGAGGCATGACAACAGCACAGATTGCTCTCGCTGCCTGGGACCCTGTTCTTCGGTGCCCAGGTCCAAAGCACCGCTCTCGTATGAGGAAGGAAACGGCAAACCTCTCGTCTCTCTCTGGGATTTCAAGGGGAACCGGCAGGACTGGGCTGCCTTTAGCCAGGGGAGACAGGGCTGCAGCCTGTGTTTCTCCTGGGATCCTTGCCAGAAGCAGAGAGAGAGGAGCTGGTGCTGGGAGTGGAGCCCTGGAGCCCCGGCTGAGGTGCTGCAAGGTTTGCCTGCAGCAACTCGGGCTGGAATAAGAGCAGAGCTCCAGAGCGGTCAGGATGAGCCCAATCTGGGGCAGGGTCTGAGCGCAGCACTGGAACTCTCTGGAGATCGCAGGAGGAGTCGCTGCTGTCAGTGATGGTAGCTAAGTCACCCACAAAAACAAGGGCTGACATGTGGGATCTTCCCCCTCCTCCTTCCTTTTTGCATTTCATCCATTCCTTGAGGCTCCTCCAAGGCCTGGATGAGCAGGGACATGGGCTTACATCCCTCAGCTTTTGACGATAGCAAATCTCGACCCTCGTGCACTGCTGGTCTGGAGGCCCCAGGTGCTCCTGGGCTGTTCCAGGATGCTCAAGAGCTCTCCTTGCCCCAGTTCTCCTCCCTGAGATGGGCAGACGGAGGGCTGAGCACCTCCCTGCAGAGGCACGCTTGCCGAAGGAACCCACTGGGCCACCTCCTCGCTGCAGCCTGGCATCCTCACACGTCCACGACACAGTCAGGTGAGTTTGTCCGGATAGCGTCGGAGATCATCTTGGCTCCTGACTGACCGATGCGGTTCCCCTGCAGGCTGGGAGCAAAGAGGAGAGGAGTTCAGGCTTGGGACATGAGGCAGAGCATGATCCTTGGTGGATACAAGAGATGCTCCCAGCTTTGCACCAGCAGCCAGCGTCATCTGTGCCCTCCCCATGCCGTCCAGGGTCCCAGGTCACAGGGGACTCTGGGTTTGAGAGCCCAGAAGCAGACAAGTGAGAAGCTGGAGAACAAGTCCCTGAGTAGCTGGACAGGCTGAGCCAGCCCATCCCTGTGATATTTTGGAGAGTATTTGGCTTTTGGGATGGTTCTTTGCCCCAGAGACAAGCTGTGGGAAAGGTCCCCGGGTGGTTTCTGTGGTCTCCCCCCTCCCTGTGTTACTACCCAGTGTAGTGGCCACTTACTTCACGTAGGTGAGGCCGTGGTTGCCCCTCAGCGCGGTGGCAATGCAGATGGCTCCGTCCATGCCTAGGGAGTTTTCCTGCAGGCTGCGGGAGGTGGGAGGGTCAGAAAGCAGTGGCCAGGGAGATATGGCCACCAGGAGGGAATGTGTGCCATGGGTGTGGGCATTGGGAAAAACCACAAGATCAAGGGTTTGTCCCAGTGAGAGCTCCTGGCCTGGCCATCCCCTCACTGCTCCCTCCAGGAGGGTCTGGAAAGGCTCCTTCTGGCTCATCCTGGGGAGCAGGATACTCACTTGAGCCGGCGGAGGCTGCGGTTCACCTTCAGCGCATTGGCCATCGCCTTGGCCCCTGCCACGCCAATGGAGTTTCCCCGCAAGCTGTGAAGAAAGGCAGGAGGTGAGGAAGGAGAGTCCAGGATGACTCTGCGCTTTTTATGGGTGAGAGGAGGAGGCTGGAGAGGTGGCTCTCCACCAGCGAGTCAAGGGACAGGCAAACTAAGTCTAGAAGGATGCAATGTAAGGGGGGAAGTGGTGCTGAGCTAAGGGCCAGGGCCTTGGACTCCTCTAAGCAGTGGCATCACAGCCATGGGGACTTGGTGGCCCCACCAAGCACTTACTCCAGGATCTGCAGGCTCTTGTTGACTATCAAGGCTTCCGCTAGGGCTTGGGCACCAGCTGCACCAACTGAAGCCACTTGCAGGCTGCAAGAAAACCAGGACGCTTCAGCACGTCATGAGATGGCTGTGAT